TTTTTCAGCCATGGTGCCCAAAAGCAGCTCAGGAGCTGGGGTTTAGTTATAGGATCTCAAGGACCCTCCACTTTTGCAGAAATGAAAATTGAGAAGGGAGAAACTGATTTTATCAATGGCTAACTAGTAGCAACAGAAGTTAGAAACTTGGAAGAAGGCACAAGCATAATAAAAGTTTCTGTGGTGTAGTGGTTAGAGTGCAGTACTGTAAGCTACTTCTGCAGCCAGCTGCCTACAATTTGGCAGTTCAAATCCCACTAGGCTCAAGGTTGACTCATCCTTCCATCCTTCTGAGGTGGGTAAAATGAGGAGCCAAATTTGGGGGGGCAATATGCTGACCCTGTAAACCACTTAGAGAGGGCTGTAAAGCACTATAAAGCGGTATATAAGTCTAAGCGGTAAGGAAGATTTATTAAAATGGATAAGCAAATATGCAATCAATATTAATGCTATGATTATGATTGCTATTTCTCAAAATTAATTGTACTCAGACAACACACAGTTTATATAAAAATGGAAGTTTTTATATTAAATAAAAACGTTTTAAAACATGAAAAAAATGTTTGCAACTCCATAGACAGGCTTGTTCTATGCTGTTCCTGGAGGATGAGTCTCAAATTTATTCATCCTTCAGTACCTTCCACCCATGTAGGAAGAAAACCCGGGAAGAGATTTCAAGTATTCTTGTGAACTTATTGTGCCCACTCCAACACCATTCTTTCTTCGCCCTGTGGCAAGATTTGGGCATGCGATTTTTTTTCTGGTTTTTCCCCAAGGGGGAAATTTTCTCACTCGGAATTCTGCTCTGGGTGTTATTCGTATTTGGTGACCAGGAAGCAGAAACGTCTCTCTCCAAGGCAAGGCCTGGGGAGAGGGGAATTGTGCACAAGAATCAGGCTCCCCTTTTCCCTGCACAACTGCACACACACTCATATGTACGCACGCAGGTGAATAACACAGGAGATCCGAAGGGGGTGGGGAGGCTAGGGTGGACTGAACCATTTCAGCCTTTCGAGAAGGGGGGGGGGGGAATGCCAACCGCCCGGAAGGCCAGCCTCCCCGGTGAAACCTTTCCAAGCGTTGGTTTGTAGGTTGTTGGGTGTTTTTTTTTGCATTTTACATAACGCAACAATTAAAGGTGTATCCGCGCCTGTGCAAGTACGCATGCGCGCGCGCACTCTCTCCCAACACCCCCTGCAAGCAGAAAAGTCCACGATTACATCACTTGCAGAACCGCTCTGCTCTGCGGTTGGGCTGCCGCCTTCCCTGCAGGCTTCGAAAGGGGAGTTTCGTAGCGCTGCCTTCCTCCCACCCCAAGATTTCAACCTGCCGGCCCAAGCCAAACGTGTCCCCAAAACCTGGCCTTTTTTCCCCACTTTGGAATAGAGAAAAACAGCAAAGAGTTTGGAGAAATGGGAAAAGGCAACTGGCTTAGCTGGGCCCTTAAAACAAAAAACAACAACTCTGCAAGGAGATCCTCGGTGTGGCATTTTATCAGAGCTGAAAAGACCTCTCGGGTTAACCTACAACTGGGGCCCCCCAAATCTCTCCTCTCTAACAAGAGGTAGGGCAGAGGTTACAGAAGAGTGTGAAGGTTGCAATTTGTGGTTATTTAGCAGGCCACAAGCCATCCAGAAGCCTATAGAGGGGGAACCCACGTCATTTCTCTTCTAAGCTTGACTTTTCGCTCCGTGTCACGCTATTTGTTTCTTTCCCCTGCAGTAAATCTCTTTATAAACCAGGAGGTGCAGTTTCCTTCATTTAGGGTTCAAAAAAATAAAAATAAAAATAAAAGCAAAAGATAAAGAGTAGCTTTGCTGCTTGTTTTTGTTCGGGTTTGTATTTCCAAAACAGGAAGTTTCTTTTTCTCTCCCTCTCTGAAGGAGGTGGGAGGGGGAAAGGGGCCAGCAAGATTGTGTATTACCTACAGGTGCAAAAAAGGCTCCTTCTATCCACATTTCTTTCTTGATCCTCCCTGCTTTTGTGGCAAGTTTAACCTTTTGGGGGTGGCGCAGGCTGTGAAATTATTTCAGAAGACTTTCAGAAGTCTTTATACATGGCAACTGCAGCAGGCACAAAATGCAGCATTGATGTTTGGCCAAAGATACACATTCTGGGCTACTGATTTGGAAATTAACTGCTACAGTTGCCTCTTTTTTTCTTTTCTTTTTCTTTGTTTACTAGAGCAGTTTCTGTACTTTTAACTCCCTAAAGCAGGGCTCTTCAAGCTTCACAGCTTTAAGACTTGTGGACTTCCAACTCCCAGAATTCCTCCTCCAGTCATGTTAGCTCAAGGATTCTGGGAGTTGAAGTCCACAGGTCTTAAACTTGCCAAATTTGAAGACCCTTTGCCCTAAATCCTGATTTAGGTTTAAACAGTAACTCTAGATGTGAATGTCCTTGCTCTATTGAGATCTAATTTGATGGAGTGGTTTTGAGGCACCAGGCTAAAAGCCAGGAGACTGTGAATCCTAGTCCCACCTTAGGCCCGAAAGCCAGATGGGTGACTTTGGGCCAGACACACACACTCTCTCTCTCTCAGCCCAACCCACCTCACAGGGTTGTTGTAGGGAAAATAGGAGGAAAGAGGAGTGTTTGCTACCTTGTTTTGTTTGTAAAAGCAATAAAGGAGGGATACAAATAAATACTGAAAATCCACCTTCTGAGGAGAAATGGTTTCCTCATGTCCTTGTAACTAAATTTGTGGGGGGGAGGGTAATTGTGTGAATAAACTCATAATTCATTGACTGCTGTAGAAATTTAATGTATTCTGGAAAGTTGGATCAGAAAAACCACAAGGGGATAGTAGCTGATATGATTTCAACAACTTTTAAAAGGTGCAGTAGTGTATGCCTCAGTTTTTTTTAAATACATCTCCCTAATGCTCATCCTTTGGAGAATAGCTTCTATTACTACTGCTTTCCACTGCAAAACCAGTTTGTAAGCTGAATGGGGTTTGTTTGTCTTTTTATAATTTACAACATCTCATTAAAATCTCTCTCCCGCACTCCTGCCCCCCACCAAAAAGGCTAACAAGGAACACTTGTGGAAATCAGCATGGTTAGGCATCAAACATGCCATGGAATTGGTTTAGACACCTCTTGTATTCCACAAGCCTTCTTTAGCCTGGGCACACTGGCTGTGCATTATGGAATTTGAAGTCCAGCACATCAGAATGGCACCCGTTTGGGTTCCCCTCAGGCTGGGCCACTATTCTCTTGCATTAACAAATCCCAATTTTGCATGAGCTGTCAATGGCAGTCAACAATGACAACAATGCTTTTACCCACTTTGTTTCGGCACGCAAAGAGCGAGCCTTACGCTCCTTACAAGGGCCCTACAGGTAGTCCTTGACATACAACAGTTCGTTTAGTGACTAAAGTTACAACCGCCCTGAAAACCAGTGCCTTATGACTGTTTCTTGTTGTTATCGGCTACTAGCATTCCCTTCAAAGAACCTTCTAATCTGACTTTCTAGAATATCATTAGATTTCTACAGCAGTCAATGAATTATGAGTTAATTCACACAACTACTACCACCCCAAATTTAGTTATAAGGACATGAGCAAACCAGGACCATTTTTCCTCAGAAGGTGCGTTTTCAGTATTTATTTGTATCCCTCCTTTATTGTTTTTACAAAGGTGGCAAACAGACCCAGTTGTTAAACTGGTTGCAGCCCACCACTGGTGTAGGGTCTGCTGCTTGGGTGGAGGATTGGACTAGAACAGGGGTTGCCAACCTTTTGGACCTCAAGGACCACCAAACTCATACTCTTAAATCCCGTGGACCAAGAGACCCTGGGGGAAAAAAAAAACTCTGCAGGAAAATTCCCCATCCTATTTTCCTACTGATCAATCATTGTTTATTTGGGATCGCAGGATACCGTCTCCAGCTCCATTCTCATGGGGGAAAGAGAGACTTTTGGCTTCATGCAAGGAAAGCAGCAGTAGCGGCAGAAGTCTTTCTTTCTCTCCCCCAAATTCCACCAGGAATGAGTCTTTGTGAGATTTATTACGCCGGCGCAGCCTCTTGGAGTAGGAGGCCTTGCAGGCTCCCAAAGACTAATTTCTGGCGGAGTTTGGGGGAGAGAAAGAAAGACTTTTGTTGCTTTCCTTGCGTGTAACCATAAGCAGAAGCAGCGGAAAGCAGCAGCCCAGTGGCCAGGCCAGGCACATAGGTTGAATGGGGCAAGTTCTCCCTCTCTGCCTTTTCCCCGCTTCCCCTCACTACCTTGTGTTCACAATGCAAGCGATGCAAGCCTTGTGTTCCTGCAGGCCATGTGGGCAGCACAGCCTTGTGTTCCCACGCAGCCTCGATTAATTGCTTTGGGGGCTGCTTGGGCAGGGGACATTTCTCTGTGGACCACCAAAATTTTATCGCAGACCACCAGTGGTCCCCGGCCCAATGGTGGGCGACCACTGGACTAGAAGACCCATAAAGTCCCTTCCAACTTTATTAATGTTAGACTCCAGTTTGGAAAAAACAGCCAGAGTCCTCAACTTACAATTATTCATTTAGCAACCAAAGTGATAATGACAGTAATTTTTCACACTTACAACCTTTGCAGCATCCCCATGGTCATGTAATCCAAATTCGGATGCTTGGCAACTGGTTCATACCTACGATAGTCACAGTGTCTCTCTGGGCTCATATGATCCACGTTTGTGACATTCTCACAACCAAAGTCAATGGGGAAACCAGGTTCCACTTATTAACAACCGTGTTATTAATTTAACAGTTGCAGTGATTCTTGCCACTGTGGCCAAAAAAAAACCAATGTTGTAAAATGGGTCAAAACTCAACTTTTTTGCTTAGGAAAATTTGGGCTCTGTTGCATTCATAAAGCAAGGACTACCTTTAAATATTTGGAAAGCAAGCAAATAGTTCCAACGGGTTTTATAAAACACACAAAAACAGTTTATTTGTTTATATATGGCAGTCGTCTTTATTGATTGCTTGATGTAAAATAGTATCACTTGGCAACTGGGGTTTTTTTTAATTTTTTTTGCACATTACAAAAGGAAAAAAATTGAACTGGCTCAGTCTGCAATCATTTTAAGCACAGCCATATTAATTAACAAAAACAAAACTACCCGCAGAGGCTAACAACAACAACAAAAATCCCCTACCAAATAGAGCATTTACAAATGCACAAAAACCACGTGCCACTTTGGCTTTCTGGGAAAATATCTTCTAGATTTAAAAAAATCTTTTAACATAAATAAGTTAGTATAATTTCTCAGTGTCTTTACAGTTATGTACACAGGTACATTTCAAAACTTTTTTTTCAAAACAAAAAACAAAAAAACCCACCCAGAAAATGTAAAAAAAAATACTGTTTCATTTACCCACTTAATGAAGGGCCAGAAAAGTGAGTAAATAAAGAGTTTGGACGTAGAGAATTTATTAATTTCTCCTCTATGCTATGTATGTTGTTGGGCAGGACTTTTAAAAAATAAGGAGGCAAAAAAAAAAAAGGCCTGTATGAGAAAATGCCCCTTAAAAGAGTTCCTCTTTTGTAGCTCCACAGAGAGAACTGAGCCTCCTACACAAAACTTTGCCCTGTGATTTCAAAGCATCTTACACCACCTTAGAAATCGGGTACTTCCCCAAAGCTCCTGTCTCTTCCAGCGAGGTCATCGCAGGCAAACATTTCCCAGATAGTGTCCTTGACACATAAAATTTCACCAGCGGATTCATTAACCTGCTGGAAAACTATGATCAAAAGCCAATTTCTTTTTATTACCTAGGACTTCCACACACACACACACACACAAAAGGGGGGGGGACAATGTTCCTTTAACAAACACATCTGCTTTCTTCCTGGGGTTTGGAAGCAGATTTTTGAACCCATCACCTTTAGCTCTACCCTTTCACAAAACAAACAAAATCCCTCCCCAAAACTCCTCCCCCCCCCAAAAAAAAAGAGGGGAGAAAGGTTTGTGTGCTAAATAATGTAAAAACTATTTACACAGGTAGTACAAAGAAGCAAATGAGGAAAACCTAATTGCAGAATGCTACATCCATTGCTTTAGGAGGCAGGCTCTTTTAAGACAGCCTGGTTTAGTGTTATTCCACTGCAGGTTGTTTCAGTGCTTTAAGGTGTTCCCCATCCCATGGAGAATCAGTTGATATGTTTTCTTTCTTTCTTTCTTTCTTTCTTTCATTTATTCATACATGTACAGGTGCGTACATGGATGCGAGCGCTGGATCTTCTTGGCTTCATTTTGCCTCCTCCAGATACAAGGAAACAAATATTCTTAATTCTGAAATGAAGGAAGAAAAAAAGTATCAATTGCCCAGGGCTCCAATTTCTTGCTTTGTTATTTTTAGAGCGTTGTGGTAGGAGCGAGATAGGCAGCTTCTAAGTTTGATATTTTTATTTATCTAATTTCTACAACATCCATCTCATCTTAGTAACCCTAAGATTATATATATATATATATATATATATATATATATATATATATGCACACACACACATACATACATACATACATATATACACAAAATAAAAATAAACAAGTACAAAAATAAACAAAGTACAAAATAAACAAAGCCTGCTGCCAAAATATCCTGTGGGCCTACAGTTACCCTTTTTAAAATGTATTATTTCTGTATACATGCATACATAATTACACAAAATGTATATTATTCTCCTCACAACAACCTTGTGAGGTGGGTTGGGCTGAGAGACAGGGGATTGGGCCAAAGTTACCCAGCCGGCTTTCATGCCTAAAGCAGGACTAGAACTTACAACCTCCCCGTTTGTAGCCTGGTGCTCTCACCACTAGACCAAACTGGCTCTAATCACCAACTGACAGGCAGCATTCGAATCAACCTCACCAGTCAAGTCCAGTTTCTATTATGCCAACTTTTTACAATCCTGTTTTCTAGTTAAAAGGATGTTTTTGGCTTTTCAAGAAAACCTGCAGATTCTACCGTTTTCATCACTATATACAGACACAACTGGCTTGGTTTGTTTTCCAAATTAGTCATGGTATGTATGCATGCACACACACAAAAATACAATAATCCAAATGATCTGTTTACTCAACACTTTTGAGCCACAAATCTAACCAAGATTAGTATTAACTAAACTTAGCCTGCTACGCGAATTCTTCTAAATATGTTGCATTCTGCCAACAGTCAATCGTTTTGGTTTTGATTTTCTCTCTCTTTCTCTCTCTCATAAGATATTTTATAATCTCACTAGACAAAAACAAGACAACCCTACCAACAAAGGTTTCATAACGTACTTCTTGACTAAAGGAGAGATTCAGTTAATCTGCCCCAACCAGATTTCAGACTGAAAGCTGACAGAATTAACCACAAATAGGAAACTGCTTAGATGTAGTGAGACAAGGCTAAATTTTGTGCTACCTTGTTATTTTCTGGGAGGTGTTCAAGAGATAGATACCAACCTCATTTTGGCGCTCCCTGCCTCTCTCTCTCTCTCTCTCTCCTGTGATTGGTCCACCCAAAAGCTTTCATTTCCCTTTCAAATGTTCAAGTAAACAGTTAGTAGTAGTTAACTTGAACACATGTCCTCCTTCCTCCCAACGGCATCCCCAGTATCAACTTCCAAGATGAAAGCTAATTTCCAAATTTTTTAATTTGGAAATCAGGTCTGCCAAGATTCTTACACCATTGCTGCTATGGAAAAGTCTATCCAGAATGCCTGTCCTTAATTAATTTGCGCGCCTTTGAGCTATTCCCTTAACTGCCACTAAGAATATCGTCCAAATATGTTGTTTGCTATTCATTTCCACCGAGGCTCCACAAAACCTTTATATCTCTAGTTAAACAGAGCCTGGACATTTCAATTGACATACCAATTGTTTATAATGCACAGCAGTTAAGGGGGAAAAAATTTTATTTTAAAAAACCTTTCTTGTGCATGAATTTTAGTATTTTCACTTTTTTGAAGCAAAGAAAGTAGAGTAAAAGTTATTTACTTAAAAAGTAAAGAAAACTTTAAAATAAGTCTACACTGCCACTTTACTAAAAACTATACTGCATTATATCCTAGTAAAATGTATTCAGAAGTAAAACCCATAGTGTCCAAGGAGAGCTTTTAAGTCAGCAAACACAAGCTTATCATCTATAATAGAATTACTGCTCCTTTTCTTCAGAAAGCCACTTCATTACTCAGTAGAGTAAGTCTGAATTTGACAGCTTGCTTTAAAAAAATCACATAAAACTCCATTTCTTGCCAAACAAACTGAATGGGTACAAAACTATACAAAATAATGAAGCATTTTTTTTTTCCTTCTAAACAGAAAACCCACCTCTACAACCACCAATTTACGTTTGACACCGCTTCGGACTGGGTGTCTTCTTCTTGGGCGTTTGTTCTGCTGAGCTGGCCATGGGTGGATCTTCAGAAGGATCTTCAGAAATTTCTTCAGTTGTGTTGGCTCTTTTGCTTTGAGGAGAGGAATCTATAAAGGGGAGGATTCAGGTGGGGGGGGAAATAGGGAAGGAGGATATTAAAAAGATCGATACCAAATCAGCACTAAAGGAGGGCAGGAAAATAGCATCACTTTGGAAGGGAATTCCTGAATCATCTGCCATTGGCATAAAATATACACAAGTGTATCCAGGCAAAGAATATCAGAATTGTGAAGAGGAGCTTCTTATGGTTAGGAATATCTGAAACCAGGCCTGTTTTGAGAGCCAGGAGAAGGAAAACAAAAAACAGTCGGTTAAGGGAATCCCACAGCCAAGCCAAGCCGCCTCAAAGGGTTGTTGTTGTTGTTGTGGGGAAAATAAAGAGGAGGAAAATACGTTGGTTGTTTGCCATCTTGAGTTTTCAGTAAAAATAATAACGGCGGGCAATAAAGAAACAAATAAATAATAAATAAAACCTCGCAAAAAAAAAGAGAGAGAGAGAGAGAGAGAGATCAAGATCTGGTCTGTGAAACCTGCAGGCCGGGCAGGCCAGTTAATTCCCTCCCATAGCTTCTCGGTCGATCTCTGGGAAATCGACGGGCCCCGGTCGGCTCCCTGCACTCTCCGGAGAGGGAGATCCACAGGAGGCGGAACAGCTCCGGGTCAATCCTTGGCGAGGGGAAAAGCCCCATGTTGACCGGGCATTCGCTTCCAAGCAAGCCCGGCTCGCGCTTCAAAGGGCAAAAGGCGATCGGCCCTTCTGGCGGCCAGAGAAAGATATCAGAAAAGCCGGGGAAATGATTTATTTTCTCTCTTTCTCTCTCTCTCTCTCTCTCTCTCTCCCTTAACGGAGCCTTCGTGTGGCGAAGCAGCCCAGCCGGGGGGCGGCGGCGGAGCTCCTTCCGAGGGGTCTCCGCGGGACCAGGGCAGAAAAAGAGTATATTACCATCCGCGGCAGGTCGCTTCCTCGGGCCGGAGCTCAGGGTTAGCGCCGCGGCCCCGTCCTGCTGGGGCTCCGATTCGGGCTCTTGCTCTGCCGGTGCCTGAGCGCAGCGAAGCCCCCTGGGCGGCGAGCGGTCTCCGTTGAGCTCCAGGCGCCGCTCCCGGCCGTCAGCCTTGGGCCGGGCCCCGCCGAGCCGCGGGGGGCGGCTGTAGAAATCGGGCAGCGCCGCCCTGTCCAGAGCCTGCCACTCGAAGCGGCCCTCCAAGGGTTGCCCGCGCCGAAAGTCGAAGTTCCACCGCCTCCGGCTGGCCTCTTCCAGGTGGCGGCTCTGCTCCTGCCACTCGCGCGCCAGCTCTTGGCGGTCGACGGGGCCGAAGAGGCAGCGGCACGCCGAGGGCTTGGGGGCGTCCGCCGGCCGGCCCTCCATCCGCTCCAGGGTCGGGCTCCCATTCGAGACACGCACTTTCGACATGGCCCGCCGCGCAGCCGGCCGCGGGGCTAAGGCGGCGGGTGAGGTGGTGCTCGGCGTCCCGCTCGGCGAGAAGGCGGCGGTGGCGGCGGGCGGCCTTTCCGCTGGACCCAGGCGAGGAAGCGTTTCCCGGGCGGACAGCGCGCAGCAACCCTGCTGGCCGGAGCCTCGCATAAGCTGAGGTCGGGGAGGCGGGCAGCGGGGCGCCTGGCGACGGAGCACCGAGCGCGGTTCCGAAAACCCCAGCCGCGCGGGGAGCGCTTGAGGAGCGGCCGCTGCTGCCCGAGCGCTCTCCGCAGGTCCGGGAGCCGCCGCTGCCGCCGCAGACGACGACGAGGAGAAGGAGGAGGAGGAGAGAAAAGCGCCGGCCAGACGCCCGAGCCCGGCGGGGGGGGGGAGGAGGAGGAGGAGGAGGACCTGTTTTTGCTCCGGGCGGCGGGCGGAAGAAGCTGAGCCGGAGCTCCCGCGGCTAGGAAGGAGCCCCGAGGAAAGAGGGAGGGAGGGCGCCTTCTCCGGCCCCCCTGCCCAATATGGCGATTGAAAGGAGGCTGACGGAGAGGCGAATGATTGACACAGCTCGTCTATTTAAATAGAGGCGGCGCGCCATTGGCCCCGCGAGTGGGCGCCGCCCCGGCGCAACGCTCGGCGCTCGCTCCCGCCCACACGGCTTTAAAGGTGGCGCGGGAGGCGCGGGGGCGCGCGCGCGCCGGAGCCGCCCAGGGTTGACCGCTGGCCGGGTTTAAGCCAGCGGGGCCCAGTCGGGAGGCTTCCGTCGCCAGCCGGCGGCCTTCGGCTGGTCGCTCTGGGTCAGCCCGCGGTCCCGAGGGGGCCTGTTCATTTTTTGGGGGGTGGCGGGGGAAGCAGAAGCGAAGGAGCCGGGGAGGGGAGGAGCGGGCAGCGGCTTCTGGCGCTCTTCGCCCTTTCCGGCGCTGCGGTCGGCGAAAGCAGGTGGGTGAGACAGAGGAAGCCCCGGTCTCAGAGCCGGGAGCGGCCCCCTTGGAGCCTTATCCCCCTCATCCCTGGACCCAGTTACTGCCTGCCTGCCCCGGCCTGTGTAAGGGCCACAGAACAGCCCTTTCCAGGGGAGGCTGCCTGCTTCGTCTCTGCGTGATTCCCGCTTCGGTTTCCCTGCCGATTCTGCACGGGTTTTTAATTGCTTGACGTTTGTAACCTATGTGCTCTGTATAACGGTAGATTTTTGTGTCGCTTCTTTGTTTTTCTTTTTAAGGTTTTTTTCTTCTTTTTAAGCTATGATTGGTGGCTTAGCATCGTGTGAACCCAGAAAGCCAGCCTCTCTCTTGCCCTAAAACTGTCATTAAGTTTTGGCAGTTGCATATGCCAAGGGAGTACGGTTTCTAACTTGCTTCTCCTTCATCTAAGCCAGGATGAAACTAAGATCTTCTCAGTACAAGGAAGCCAGAAGGAAACTACATGTCACCTGGGCCTCCCCTGCCCTCCTTTTGCATGTCTGGATCCAGTCCTAGCGGATGGAAGAAAGGAGAGAGAGTCCCAGTTACATTATTGCTTGCCACAAAGTCCGTCTTTCTTTAATGCGGATACCTTGTTTCAATCTGTACAAACAGATGCCAAAGAGGGTTACTTTGGGAGAAGAAGCTGATCAGAGAGTCTCTGTGTGGATCCAGGTGTTCCTTTTACGCCCAAGTAGAGACAGGTGCATGACTTGGGAGTGTGGTTCAGCCGACCTTCAGTTGCTTTTGGGCGGAGGTCTTCAAACTTGGCAACTTTAAGACTTGTGGATTTCAACACCCAGAATTCTCCTGGCTGGCTGGAGAATTCTGGGAGTTTGAAGTCCACAAGTCTTTAAAGTTGCCAAGTTTGGGGACCCCTGCTTTTGGGTTTCATCTGTTGGACCCCAGTTAGTCTTGACAAATGCTACACTAGATGACAGCTTCTAGGTGTCACGTAATGGACAGCTTCTGCCTTTCAGGATCAGCCATCAACATTAAAGGAACCAGCAGGTAAGAAATACCACAAACTAGTGTTTGATAGAGCAGTAAGTAGATTTTGGGGGGGGGGGAAATTTGGGTGCTGAGAGATTTGTCTCTATGTACCGTATAACAGCCAGAATAGTGCAGAGAATGCTGTTCCCTGTTGGCACTAAATGGAAGCAAACATCGGACATTAAAGAAGCAGGAAAAGAAGGACATTGTGGCTTTTGAGTGTTGGTGTTGGAAAATATTGTGGACAGCCAAGAAAGTAAACCAATGGGTCATTGAACTGATCGATCCAGAGTTCCCACTAGACTAGAGGCACAACTGCCTCAAATTATCCTATTATGGAAAGATCTGAAGAAGGTTTTGGTGCTGAAAAGGTGGAAGCAAGGAAGAACAGGACATCCAGCCGTGGATGGTGTCGGTTACGGAGGTGATGGAGGCACCATTAGAAGATCTATTAGATCACCATTAGATGAACCACGGTGGTTCAGTGGTTAGAGTGCAGTGCTGCAGGCTACTTCTGTTGCCTGCTGGTTGCCTGCAATTTGGCAGTTCAAATCTCACCAGGTTCAAGGTTGCCTCAGCCTTCCATCCTTCCAAGGTGGATAAAATGAGGACCCAGATTGTTGGGGGGCAACATGCTGGCTCTGTAAACCACTTAGAGAGGGCTGTAAAAGCACTGTGAAGTGATATATAAGTGCTATTGCTATCTAAAGGATCCGGTTAGAAAAGGATCCTTCTGTCTGCAGTTGCTAGGATTCTACACAAATGTGATAGCGCATAAATCAAAATCTATAGTGTTGGGGAAATGTACAGATAGTCCTTGACTTATTACATAATTTAGCCCTGAATTGTGGTCATAAGTCATGTTGGTAGGTAAGTGGATCACTATGTGACTGATTTTACAACCTCTTTTGTGGTGATTGTGAAGCAAATACCATGTGAACTCAGGGAACTCAATGGGCATTTTTTGATAGAAACCAAAAGTAAATGCTGATTTCTGGCCAAAATTGTACTCAATCACAATCCTGTGGCCAGGGAATACTGTGGCTGGACCTAAATATGGGCCAGTTGCCAAGTGCTCTAAATTCATTCACCTGTGGAAGGTGGATAGCTGGGCCATCCAAACTCAGTCTTAAGTAGTTCTGGGGAAATCAGCCATAACTTTCAGTCATAATTTGAGGACTATCTATAACTTAACACTCAAACTTGGCAACTTGTGGACTTCAGCTCCCAGGCTGAGGAATTCTGGAAGTTGAAGTCCACAAGTATTAAAATTGCCAAGTTTGGAGACCTCTGACTTAACACATCCTTCAAATGAATAGGAAAATGTGGGGAAACCCATTGTGTTTCTAATGTGCCTGATGACTCATTCAAACTACGTTGCATTTAGAATGGAGATTAGCGCCATGCAAAGGATGAGGCACCCAACTTGATAACTGATATGGTCACCTTAGTGTCTTGCTGTCCCACTGCCCAAGGCCACCTAAGGGAATTACGTAACCATTTGCAGTCATTTTCAGCGTCTCATGGTCATGTGATTGTCAACATATTTTGCTGGTTTTCAGCATTTACTTCTGATTTCTGGGGGGGGGGGGGAAGAGCCCGTTGGGTAAAATGGATTTGCTTAATGACTGCCCCATTTGCTTAATGACTGTCCCCCAAAATTGGATCAGATCATGTGATGCCTTAACTTACAACCACCATGACTTAATGACTGTAATTCTGGGCTCAACAACAGTTGTAAGTTGAGGCCATGTACACAGACTTGTCAGGCCCTGAGAAAGCTGCTTTTTAAAAGCAGGGGTCTCCAACCTTAGCAACTTTAAGCCTGGCGGACTTCAACTCCCAGAATTCCCCAGCCAGCTGGCTGGGGAATTCTGGGAGTTGAAGTCTGCCAGGCTTAAAGTTGCCAAGGTTGGAGACCCCTGCTTTAAAGGACTTATCTACTGGGACTTGCAAACATTTGGATAACAGCTAGAGGGCAGAAGAGAATTGGGGTTCATGTGGCCCTGCACTGCCCCCTCAAGGTCATCCTAGTACTTGCAGTCAATCTTTTAGGGCAGCCCTTTCAAGAGGCTGATTATTTTCAAATAATTAACAATGCTGTGTTTTCTTCTCATGGTTTTTGTTTTAATTTTTAATTTTGCAACAGTTCCATATTCTACCTGCAGCTGGAGCCTGTAATGATGGTTCTCTAACCTTTTCAAGAGGGCCCTGGGGGTAAAAGTCCTCAGAAGGCCTGGCATAAAATATTGTATTCTTGTTTCTGGACAGATATTGGCAGAATGTGGAGGCCTTAACCATGTTCATTCCAGCTGCAGAACCATGTGAGTGAGGGAAAAGGTCTAAGGTGATAAATGGCTCTGAGATCTGTGGATATTTAACCGTCCAGGTCTGTTCAAAAATGTGCTTTTTTTCCCCCCCTGTCCTGAAGGCAGATAAGAGGATCCATGAAATTAATGCTCCCCATGAGATTTGAATTAAAACCCAGTCCCCGCCTTGCAGTCCAGGAAGCTGAGCTTTAGCTAGTTATTGTTGCTGCAGGGATGAGAAGAACATGATTGACACCCAAATACTGAACTGGTTGTCAACTATGGAAGCACAAATCTACCCAAATGCTATGGATTTGGGGAAAAAGAGGAGTTACAAAGACCTATTAGACACACAATGAAGATTAAAAATGAGACGATTACAGCAACAAAATATAAAGATAGATTGGTGGCCATACATGCAAATCCAGGCAAGATATCAGAAGGACAAAGAACGATTTGGTTTCTGCATGGAAAAGCATCAGTTAGATAAAATTCTACAAGAAATGGAAAAGAACATGATTTCAAGAATATATAACTTTCTACTAGATTTTAAAATGGAAGAGGAGGTGGTCAAACGATGATGGTATGGGCAAAAAATATTGGGCATAATATAGACCTGGGAAATTGGGAGAGAATGTGGGGATCAAATTACAAATTAATTACATCCACAGCATACAAGGAAAATCAATACAAAATGTTCTACAGATGGCACCTTCCTCCCGCTAGATTGGCAAAAATGTTTAACTCAGATCCAAATTATTGGAAATGTGGAAAAGAAAAAGGCACTATTTTCATACCTGGTGGACATGCCAGGAAGTGAAAAAATACCGGAATACAATTAGACAATGGATAGAAGAAATCACGAATCAGAAAATTGAATTTAATCTGGAAACTTTTTTATTAGGTATAATAACACAAAAATTCAATAAAACAGATATATTATGTTACATATATTAACAGCTGCAAGGATTTCGTATGCACAACTCTAGAAGGAAAAAAAAGTTCCACCGCAAGACATGGTTATTAAAAAAAAAATAGATTGTATAGAGATGGGCAGGCTAACGATGAAAATAAAAGACAGAGAAGATTCAATTTATTATAGGGCCTGGGATGTCTGGGATGAGTGGTTTAGAAATAAAAAGAAAATAAAATGGCAATTAGAAAAAGAATGAGGGAACATGTAAATATGTAAATATACCATGGAGAAGATTGAGGTGTAAGGATAAAAGGTATTGATTTATAAAAAGAGTAAGATGCAATGGTAAAGGAATAAGTAAATACACATACGGAAAAATGT